ATGAGATTACAAACATACGGCACCACACCCAGCTAATTTTTTTGTATTTTTAGTAGTAGAGATGGGATTTCACCATGTTGGCCAGGCTGATCTCGAACTCCCAACCTCAGGTGATCCACCCACCTGGGCCTCCCAAAGTGCTGGGATTATAGGAGTGAACCACCATGCCCGGCAGCTCCTGAGGATGTTTCTGAGGCTTTTATTTTGGGGTATCCTGAGCCCCAACAGTTTCATGCCCTACTTTTTAAATAAGTAAACCTATAGGGATTTAAATGATTTTGGTGGATTTGGTGGATTAAAATTAAAGGCCTTTAATTTTAAAGATAGAAGGTAAAGAAGAAGGTAAAGCACTTGAAAGCCAGAACTGGTTTAAACCAAAAACAGCGTTTATTGCTCACTCTGTCTTTGGTTCTACCTTGATTGGGTAGTAGAAGGGAAAATGTTTACGCTTCTACTATGTAAGCACCACAAAACCTGAAAACCACATTTTGTGAAATAATAGAACTACATTTTCAGGTTTTATTGTCAAATTAAGGAAAAACAGAAGTACCGTTAGCCTGCCAAGTGCCACTGTCCCTAATCACAAGAGACATTTAGAGGTACCAGCTGTGGGGTTTGCTTCTTGTCTTTCTTCAGAATCACAAGCTAATCATTAGCTTTTCTGCTCCTTGCACTTTCCCGAGCTCTGGCCAGAAGTGCAGGCAGGGGTGTTTACATGCTCCAGAAACCTTTTTCCTTGCCTGTTAGAAGCTTCTGGTGTCTAGCAGTTGCAAATCTCAGTGGAGCACCAGAGGCTGCATATGCTCACTGAGCCAGCAGTGGGTCAAAACCCTCATGCTGTTTGTTAAACTCCATGCATCAGTTTGCCAAGGCTGCCATAACAGGGTTCTACAGACCGAGTAGCTTAAAAAAACCCAGAAATGTATTGTCTGAGAGTTCTGGAGGCTAGAACTCCGAGATAAAGGTGTTGGCAGAATTGGTTCTCTGAGACTGTGAAGGAGAATCTGTTCTGTGCCTTCCTCCTAACTCTCTCGGTGGGTTGCTGATATCCTTTGGTGTTACTTGGCTTGTAGGTCCATCCCCCTGATCTCTGCCTGCATGTTCACATGTTGTTCTCCCTGTGGGCCTATTTGTTTCTGTGTCAAAATTTCCGCTTTTAATAAGGACACCAGTTACATTGATTTAGAGCTTACTCCAATGGCCTCATTTGAATTTGATTACCTCTCTAAAGATCCTGTCTCCATAAAACGTCCCATTCTGAAGTACTTCAGTTGTCCATTTTAACAAACTGGCAGAATTTCTGAGACCCGTGTTGTGAATTGGGGCACAGAACTGTTTTAAGGGAGTACCGATGTTCCTCTTGTGTTGTTGCTTATTGTCTGTTGGGGAAAATGGGAGAGTCTCAGGGCTTGCAGAGGTTGAGGGTGGAGTGTGGGGGTATGCAGGGGAATCACAGAGGGCCTCCCAGCTGCAGATATAGACAGTGCTTACCGACCAGGCCGTTTTCATGTGCCAGGCTTTGGTCAGATACTAGGCTGGGTGGCTGGTGGTTGTGGTGAGGAGGCGTAGCTCAGTTGGTTGTGGTGATCATTTAAGGCAAGCTTGTCCAACCTGTGGCCCAAGATGGCTTTGAATGTGGTCCAACACAAGTTCATAAACTTTCTTAAAACATTGAGTTGTTTTGTGATTTTTTTTTTTTTTTTAAGCTCATCAGCTATTGGTAGTGTTAGTGTATTTTATGTGTGGCCCAAGACAATTCTTCCAGTGTGATCCAGGGAAACCAAAAGGCTGGACACCCCTGATTTAAGGTATATACATTTATATAAGACTATAGAGGCCCTTGTGCATGGAGAGTGTGTGTTACTATCTTCAGTGTCTGGTGTGGTGCCTGGCACTCCACAAATGTTCAAAGAATTAATGCTACATTCACGTATGCAATATTTTATAAGTATATGGTAGAGAAGCAGTGGAGATAATGTGCCTTTTAGGGGAAGGAGAGCCAACTCCTTGTCTAGGACACGACACCTATTTTTAAAATGTCCTTATCAGTTAGCAGTGTGGTTTTTGTTTGTTTGTTTTGTTTTTGAGACAGAGTATTGCTCTGTCGCCCAGGCTGGAGTGCATTGGCACTATCTCGGCTCACTGCCACCCTCCACCTCCTGGTCTCAGGTGATCCTCCTGCCTCAGCCTCCTGAGTAGCTGGGATTACAGGTACACACCATGATGCCCAGCTAATTTTTGTATTTTTAGTAGAGACGGGGTTTCACCATGTTGGTCAGGCTGGTCTTGAACTCCTGGCCTCAACTGATCCACCTACCTTGGCCTCCGAAGGTGCTGGGATTACAGGCATGAGCCACCGTGCATGGCTGTTAGCGAAGCGATGTGTTAATGATTGGTTTAATACCCCGTGTGTGTGTGTGTGTGTGCGCGCGCACGCACATGTGCATGCGTGTGTGTATGTATGCGCGCTTGCGTGCGTATGTGTGTGTGAGGGAGAGAGAGAAGCGTGCCACTCTGCAGCCTTACCCCTGCCCTCCTTCTGCAGCATTCTTTATAAACTAATTTCAGAGGTGTCATGTCATCACCTCCGCTTTGTGCCATTGGTCACTCACACAGACCAGTTCTGGGACAGTGGGAAGTGATGACCCAAAGGGATGAATATCAGGAGGTGAGGATTATTGGGGCCATCTAAGAGGTCACTTTCCAATGTTTTTATAGTCTCAGATCTGAAGTTAGGATGGTTTCTCTAATACTACTTTTACTTTTTTGAACTTTAAAGTTCAGGGGTATATGTGCAGGTTTGTTATATAGGTAAACTCGTGTCGTGGGGGTTTGTTGTACAGATTATTTTGTCACGGAGATATTAAGCCTAGTACCCATTAGTTATTTTCCCTGATCCTCTCCTTCCTCCCACCCTCCACCCTCTGTCCTTCAGTCAGCCCCAGTGTGTATTGTTGCGCTGTATTAGCTCCCACTTATAAGTGAGAACATGTGGTATTTGGTTTTCTGTTCCTGCGCTAGTTTGCTAAGGATAATGGCCTCTGGCTCCATCCATGTTCCTGAAAAGGACATGATCTCTCTTTCTTTTTGTTTTTAATGACAGCATAGTTCTAATAGTACTTTTGGAGAAATCTAAGAATTAAGAAATAATCTAGCAATACTATTTTTGCTGTTTTCCTTTACAGTATATATTTCTCTTTAGTAAGTACAAAATCATAAGTGTGTTTTTGAACTTGCTTATTCAGCCAGCATTTTATTTTAGCTTTTTATTATGGAAAATTTCAAAGTTTAGAAAGGAGGGAGAACTATAAAATTAACTTCCATGTACTCAGCACCCAGTTTCAATAATTATCAATTCACAGCCAATCCTGTTTCATCCATACCTAAATATCCCCCGACTCTTGTTATTTAGAAACAAATTCCAGGCATAATATTATTTCATTGTATATATTTCATATGTCTCTCTGAAAAATAGGGAGTCTTTTAAACATCACAATACTAAAAAAAAAAAAAGCAATAATTTCTAATAACATCAATACTTTTTAATAACATCATATCTGGGGTTCAGAGTTTTTTTATTGTCTTATCCTTTAAAAATATATTTTTTAGTTTGTTTGAATTTGGCTCCAACATTACAATTTTCAAGATCTTTATGTTTTAGTCTTAGAGTCTTAGGATTTTAGATTAGAAAGTTGACTTTGGTCATTTCATCTGTCCCTACCTTTTTATAGATGAGAAAAATTGCCAAGGGTCACAGAGCTGGCTCATTTAAGATTGGAACCTGGACCTTCTGATTCTTAATCTCAGGTGCTTTTTGTTTTAAGAAACGTTTGGTTTCTGTGCATTATAAACAATGACATGAACATAAACCCACATCGCTAGGACTTGGGCATTCAAACATGAAGTTTTGAGGTTCCTTTATTCCAGCTACGAATCCTGCTCAGAGCCATGTGTTGGCTGTAACCAGTGTTCTCCCCTTTTGTCACCTTTTTAAAAAGATTAGCTCTGGGCCGGGCGCGGTGGCTCAAGCCTGTAATCCCAGCACTTTGGGAGGCCGAGACGGGCGGATCACGAGGTCAGGAGATCGAGACCATCCTGGCTAACACGGTGAAACCCCGTCTCTACTAAAAATACAAAAAACTAGCCGGGCGAGGTGGCGGGCGCCTGTAGTCCCAGCTACTCAGGAGGCTGAGGCAGGAGAATGGAGCAAACCCGGGAGGCGGAGCTTGCAGTGAGCTGAGATCCGGCCACTGCACTCCAGCCCGGGCTACAGAGCAAGACTCCGTCTCAAAAAAAAAAAAAAAGATTAGCTCTGAAGCATGACTATAAAGTCAGTGGTGCTGACTTTTTACAAACATCCTAAATCTCTCCCAGTCTAGTGTGCTAAATTTGCTGATTTCCTCACTTAGTCTTTTTGGTTTCTGGCATTTTTAAGTGTATATTTTCTGTTTCTCATATTTACTTAACGGTGTGGGCTGGAAATCACTCCGTGTCCATTCATAGTGATCTTCCTCAGTCTGTTTTTATACCATTGGATTGTTTTAAAAGCTTTTCTAAAATGTTATGGATTTGGTTCTACGTTAGGAACTTTTTGTCGCACTTGTTTTGCCAGAAGCTTTAGGATGCCATGGCATTCTCTTTCGTCACAAGTCCCTGATGAGGAGCTCTTAGCTTCGCATTGGAACAGGGTCTTTGCTGCACTGAGGAGGAACTCTTAGCTTCGCATTGGAACAGGGTCTTTGCTGCACTGAGGAGGAACTCTTAGCTTCGCATTGGAACAGGGTCTTTGCTGCGCTGTTTGCCTTTGTCCAGCTCCCAGGTTGGATCAGCAGTTAGTTTTGCCATCCATGGGGCTAGATCTCCTACCTCTTGGAGGGCCATGCTGGGCTTTGGGAGTGAGCTTGGGCAGGACTTGGGACACTTAAATCCAGAAGAATTCTGAGAATCCTTGCCATGAACTCAGGTAAATATTTGTGGTTGCTCTTCCCTGTCCCCCGCAGGCCCGCCAGCTCATCCTGCAGTATGGCTTGACCCTCAGTGACCTGGATCGACACCCAGAGGTAAGATTGCCACTCAGAGGCAGACCACTGAGTATTTCTCTCTGCTTTTTTGTGGCTGTCACTTGTTCGTGAGCTCCAGATACCTTGTCAAATCTAGGGAAGATGTCAGTTAGTTGTACCAAGTTTTCTCCTGGGACCTTGAGTATTAATTTTGGCTGAGGTCACAAGTGCCGAGGTGGTTCCTTTCCACCACGTTCCTTGTGGTTTAACCCCGAGGGCTCAGTGTGAATGTAGTGAAGGGAAGTGGGCAAACCCAGGGCTGCATCCTAGGGCTTCCTGAGGTCTTTGTGCAGAGATATAAGAGTGAGCCAGCTGATGGAGCTTGCCACTAAGTAGAAATAAGGAAGAATCATCTGAGGCAGCCATGGACATTTGAAAACATTAAAATTAAGTTTTGTGGTAAAGACTAACACGGGGCAGTCCAGGGGAGACTGACGTTGATGAGGGTGAGCAGCATCACACACCGTAGCTGGCATTTTTTGAGTCTTTATTATGTACCAGCTTTTGTGCTGAGTGCTGTACCTGTATTAAACTTTCATCTCCAGTATTCGTGAAGATAGGATACCATAATTTTCCCATTTTATAGATGTGAAAAAGGCACAGAGAGGGTAAGTCATATGGCTAATGCCACAGTTTTTAAGTGGCAGAATCAGAATTTGAACTCAGGCACATCTATTCTAGACTAATGCTAGTTTGAGTTTTTTGGGAAGAGGTAAAGTTTGAATTGCGCTCTAAAGGCCAGGTGGCAAGGGCAGGAGAGAACATTCCAGAGGGTGGTAGATGGGAACCACAGGAACAGCTCCACATGGGCAAATGGACACTGCTCAGACTGGCTGGGGTGATAGGACAGAGTGAGTGTACTGCGTTGGTGCATAGTGGGGAGAGGGAAAGCAAAGCTGGATAGGAAAAGTGGGGTGGTTTTGAGGCACCTGGAAAACCAGGCGGGGGGTTGAGACTTGATGGTGATCTAGTAGCCCATGTTTCTGTCATACACATGGGCCTCACAGGGGTTAGTAAGAACTATGGGAAGGACTTGGAGATTTCCGTGGGCAGAGCCAGGGGCACAGGCTGATCATGTGTTCAGCAGCTGTGAAGAGAGTGGTTTGGGCTGAAGGTGGGCCTGGAGCCCAGACAGAAAAAGTTGCCACTTTCCATACCCCTGAGAATTGCCACAGTGCAGCCTGACTCGGGTTAGTGCAGGCTTGCGGAGAGCAGTGCTGACTGTAACTTCAGACAAAGGCTGGAGTCTGTAAAATCCTGGAAGCAAGCATGACCCATATGGACCTGTATTTTTTATACCTGTGCCATGCCAGCCATGCCAGGCAACTTAGTAACTGCACCATGAATAGAATTTGTACCCTGCATACTGCTTGCTGTCTTTAAAAATATACTTGGGGTTCCTACATTGTCCATGCAGATACCATGAGTGGTGAGAAATGTGTAACTTTCTTGATTTTGATTTTTGAAAGCTAGATGAACCCATTTGCCCCCCAACCGCTTTAGGGGCTTGTGGTGGAGCTTCCTAATAGAGGGAGCAGGCAAGCCCAGACAAGTGGGGTCTTAGTGGCAATGTCCCAGATAATTTCCAGTTCGGGAACACGTCAACTTTCTTACGTATCTCTTCATTTGATGTTGCTCACAGTACAGAGAATTCTGAATCCGGTTTTTTTTTTTTTTTTTTTTTTTTTTGCACTTTCCCACCCCCAGTGGAATTTAGTAGCACAGATATTACTGTATTGACCCTTTGGTTGGACAAGACTCATTGTAATATCTAAGATTTTTTATTCCCCCACCGAAAACCAATTTTTGCCTCTTGGGGGAGGTGATAGCACCCACACTGAGAACATATGTTCTAAATAGTGCCAGGTTGTCCACAGGGAAGCCCATCAATGAGAAAAGGGAACATAGTCTTGTGGGTAAGAACTGTACCCTGGTTAGAGTCCCAAGTCCTGTGCTGTTTCCCTTTGATCCTAGTGGAGCACCTTAATCTCTTGTAGCTCAATTTCTTGATTTATTAAATGGGAGTACTGGAATTAGCTAATAGGGCTGCTGAGTATCTGAGGAGCTATTGCACGCTCGGGCAATTAGCACAGAGCCTCCCCTCAAGTGGTTTTTGTATCTTTCCTTTCCCCCCGATGCAGATCGACCTTGCCATCGATGGTGCTGATGAAGTAGATGCTGATCTCAATCTCATCAAGGGCGGCGGGTGAGTGTGGTGGGGGCTTCTGTGCTAAAGAGTATCTGCCAGTTAATCCTTAGCAAAGCAAGATGGATACAGAATAAACAAATTGCCACTGTGACGTATGCAAGTTTGGCTTTCTCCTGGGATATTAATAGCATATGGCCTTGGACCCAACTCAGCATTTCTGGTCATTAGCAGCAATTTAGTGACGAGGAACCTGCGCCTCTTTAGTGAGATCATTCGTCATAATGGATTCCCTGTGGATCTGTGTTCTTTTGTTGATTCAGACTTTAAAAACGTAAGGCCATATCAAAATAATATTGGCTAGATTATTAGGTCTGTGGGCACCAGTGTGTGACTTTTGCTTTGAAGCTGTGCTTACCTCTGTGAGCAGTTAGGGATATTATTTGTTCCTTTGGAAGACATTAATTGGGTATTTCTTAAGTGCTGATTTGGGGAGTGGTAGAAATGGTGAGTTGAAAAAGGTGAAATCCTGTTCTGCTGGCTCTTATAATCAAGCAGACTATGGAGTGATGTGGCATTTGTTTAAAATCACACTTTACTGTTTATTAGATTTCCTTATGTGTTATTTAATCATGTCAACTGCAGATGTGAGATAATTTAGCTGCTGAACCGTAGAGGTAGACCTGGACCCAAATCTGCTGATTCAGTGCTCTGGGCTGTCTCCACTTCATCACCCTCATTGGCAAATAGTCGATTGGGCAGGTTGTTCAAAGCATGCCCTCAGCTTCTAGACCCTCCCATTCATGCCATGTCCAGATGACGTCTCCCTGTACACAATGCTTCCTCTCAGATGCATTTGGATGGAATTATGCCTGGCCTGAATGGGAACCTTGTCTGCTTTCTAGGTTTCTTTCAGACACAGGGTAATGTTTCTAGAGTCCATTTACTAGGAGCAGCATGATGGGACTGGGGATGTCCCTTTGAAAATTAAAAGTTAAGTTTCTTTTTAAGTGCCAGGATTGAGTGGATTTGGGATTCCTGTATGTGACCTTAGTTCCCAAACTGAGATTTTTGTCTTACTCCTGTGTTCCTTTGCTTCCTTCCTATCTGCAGAGGCTGCCTGACCCAGGAGAAGATTGTGGCTGGCTATGCTAGTCGCTTCATCGTGATCGCTGATTTCAGGTAGTTTCTGGTGTCTGAACTGCCAACTAAGGAGGTAGATTGGAGCCCTAGGCCTCATCCTCATTTTTGTGAAGGGGGAAATGGAGAGCTGCAGGGACTCTCTGACTTTCTGAGACTGATTGCTAGGACTTAGTACAGTGTCTGGGAGACTTTATGTTCTGCTTCTAGGCTGAAGGTAGATGTTGCTAATCACACCACTGTTATCTGCAGCCAGGATCTCTAGCATTATTTCACGTGTTCAGTGGAACGGGGAAACAGCTTTTCACCCTGTTAGCAGATCGTGCTCTCATGTGTCATGTCACTCACTGGATCCTCACAGGGAGCCTCAGGGTGTGCCCTGCCCACGGGCAGTGACTCAGCATGCCCTGCTTCTTCTCAGGTCAGGGTTTGCCGCAGGTGACTGGTGTCATTGATAGTCTTTGGCCAGGCTCTCAGATGAGCATCTGAGAGGAATCTGGTCAAAAGCACTGTGCTGAGCATGTTAATTTCAAATATGTGCATGTGTGTATTTGCTTGTGAAATGTAGCCACAGGATGAGCATAAATATTAAACACCTACATACCTACAAGCCAGCAATATCAGATTTTAACATTTTTGTCATATGTATTTCAAATAGCTCTTTTCCTATATAGTGAAACAGCTAATTCATTTGAAGCCCTGTGTATACTGCCTCTGATCACTTTCCTTGCCTTCCTACCATCTAATTAACCCTATTCCTGAATTTGGTGTTTGCCTGTACTATTGAACTTATTTACTTTTATTTCACTTTTTGACTCCTCCTTTCCAGGAAAGATTCGAAGAATCTCGGGGATCAGTGGCACAAGGGAATCCCCATTGAAGTCATCCCAATGGCCTATGTCCCAGTGAGCCGAGCTGTGAGCCAGAAGTTTGGGGGCGTGGTTGAACTTCGAATGGCTGTCAACAAGGCTGTGAGTGGCCTGATTGGGCCGGGAGTGTCCTGGGTGCACTCAGGTTTTCAGTGTGGTGTGCTCCCTTCTGTTCCAGTTAGGTTCTCTGTGCCTCCACCAGGCAATTGGCTTTTATTTATTTTTAATTGATGTATTTGTTTATTTTCAGAGAGCTGGCCCTGTTAGTTTCTGCATTCAAACTCTTGTAGACAAGACCACACTTAATACAGTGCATCTCCTTTGTACAGATGGGGGAATGATTCTTTCTCTGTGCCTCACGTTCTGACATCCCACAGGTGATCTGACCTTTGTGCCTGAGGCCTGGAACACCCTGATTGGCAGCTGTGAAACACTGGCTTTGGGAACCCGTTTGAAGCAGAAAGTTTTTTAGGTTCCATGGTGTAACTTCTTTTCTCCCTCTTCTTTCCTCTCATTCTGTGGTTAAATGTGACAAGAAGTAGAATTTCCTGGGTTGTGTGAACTCTTCCCCAGGAACACACTCCAGATGGTCCAGATTTTTCATGTTTCTCTTTAGCTTCTAAAGTGGATTGCACAGAACTTTTCCCTCTTTTTGTACTTAAATAAGCAAGCAAAGAGCAATCCAGAAGCTAACCCCAGTTACATGTGTAACTACATAAACACTTTGGAGGATAGCGAAAGGATCTGTCACCCTACCTTGATACATTTTTATTTTAATATACTTTGTCCCCGGTGTTTCTGTGACTTTTAAAAAAACCGTAGTTCTATTCCTAGTGGTTGTACGGTGCTCTGACTGACGTTCATATTGTTGGCGCGTGAAAGAAATGCAGCACAAAATGGAGAAGTCGTTCGACCTTGACCCTGTCAGAGTTCTTATTTGAAAGCCACGTTGCTGCTAGTGTTCTTATTGTCTTTTGGATTCTGTTTCTTGCCCTTTTTCTTATTGGCCCAGTAGTAACTTAAGGAAGCAGATAAGAACAATAAATTTTGGACTAAAGGAAGTAAGAACAATGAACCAGAAATCAGATAGGAATGTGGTGATAATTGTGACATGTTCACATAGTCATAGTGGGAGCTCATGTGAGTAAAAATAGCTTGATACATTTGTTAAGAGGCTTGTATTCTCTCTCTACAAAGACTACAATCTAAGTCTGATTTCAAAGCTCCTGCTTATTACCACTTCACAGCACACCTTCTAAGAAAGCATAAAGTGGGAGCTGGTTAAAATGCATACATGTCTTTTGTTGTCCCCTCTACTTTCCTGTCCTTCTCTGCCTACCTGTATCTGCATCCTTGTTCATTGTGGAAAATTATCTTCTAGGGTCCTGTGGTGACAGATAATGGGAATTTTATCTTGGACTGGAAGTTTGACCGGGTACACAAATGGAGTGAAGTGAACACAGCTATCAAAATGATCCCAGGTAACATGAGTGGCATTCAACAGGCATGTACACCCCCATGCCCTTCATAACTGGCCCCTACATCTGGCTAGGGAAGGCACAATGGACATGGGCTTTGTAAGGCTTGGTTGGAAAGAAGAATTCCCTTTATACTATGTTTGGGTTTTTAACTTCACCTCCTTTGCCGTATTCCCTTCCCCTAACAATTGTTGCTTACCTAGCACCTTTGTTGCTTGTGCATTTCACAGCCTGTTTGAGTTGGGATAATCCTGAAGCTGACGGAAGTTCAGAGGGGACTTGCCTTGAAATAAGGTTATCATCTCTGGGTAGAACCTTTCCTTCCAGGAGCTGGACTGCAGCCTCTTTTTGTGGACTCTCTTAAGCATGGGGGAAAATAACTCAGTTAATCCATATTCATTGGATGCATGCCGAAGGCAAGATGTTGTGCTGTGTGTTACAGGGGATACTTCAATTTGGAGGACTTGTAATCTGTCCTTAAGGAGAATTGATGTAAACCTGTGGAAATCTGTGTGTATGTGTAGAAGCCATGCCTACAAATAAGATAGAATGTGCTAAATTCTACTAGAGGAATACCAAGAGTCTAGAGTGCACAAAAAGGTTCTTTTTGGCAGAATGCGAGGATGTTTTATGGTGTAGAGGTGGTTTTTCACCCGTGCCTTGGCATAGCATAAGTTAGACATGGTGCTAAGTGTCTAAAAATGTTTCCTTTGATTCCTGCTTTGATGAGGTAGTTATAGAGGAGGACACTGGCTGAGGAAGGTTAAGCTGTTTGCCCAAAGACAGCACCAGGATGGGCACCCTAAGTTGTCTGCCACTAGACCCCAAATGTTTAATGCTTACTTGCTGAAGCACCAGGTGAAGAGAGTCTGTGTGAAATGAACATTTAGAGCCTTAGGGAGCCTCTAATGCAGCTGTGCCAGGGAATGATGGAATAAGAGCCAGGATGGGGCCCTGTGTGAAGGATGGGTGGGCAGTGTAGGGATGAGTTATGAGGCTGGAGCCCTAGTCCAGGCTAGAGGAGGTATCAAGGACTCGTACAAGGGGATTAAAAGGAAGAGGCAGTCTTGAGAGGTATCAGCTTCTTAGGATGTTGCGAGACTAAGAGGCTAACGGAATATTCCCTAACATGGAATATTCTTGGGCTGAAACTGACTGACAGGACCTTTCAGACCAGTTTAGTGGAGCAGACTATTCTGGGTAAGGATCCTAACCCAGCTGTGCTCTGGCATGTTACCTTTTAGCAGTTAGTTAACATCTCTGTGCCTGAGTTTCTTCCTACGTAGAAGGGGCTAGTTAATTCTAGTACCTACCTTATAAGGTTATTGGGTGGATTAAATGAGTTAAAACAGTGCCCATTGCAGAAGGGAAAGTGTTTGTTGAATGAATAAATTCCTTGAAAGAAAGGTACTATTGTTACTATTAATTAAATATACTAAGAGTCTAAGATACACCTGTGCTAGTTGGGATTTAAAATAGTGTGAATATAAGGTGTGTAATGAAAAGCTAGTTCTTCCAGTTCTACTTTATTCATTTATTTTTTGAGACAGGGTCTCGCTTTGTCACCCAGAAAGGAGTGCAGTGGTGTGATCATGGCTTACTGCAGCATTGACCTGGGCTCAAACAATCGTCCCGTTTCAGCGTCCCCAGTAGATGGGACTACAGACGCACACCACCACGACCGGCTAAGTTTTGAATTTTTTATAGAAATGGGATTTCACAGTGTTGCCCAGGCTGGTCTTGAACTGGGCTCAGTATCTGCCTTGGCCTCCCAAAGTGCCAGGATCACAGGTGTGAGCCACTGTGCCTGACGCCAATTCTACTTTAGTCTGTTATTTTATTTTAGTTTTTTATTGACAGTCTTTTACCACGTTAAGTCAAAAAGATGAGTTGGCTTATACTCATTTTCTTGGTTAGTGTTCTCTTTTTAATGGAAGAACTAAACAGCCAAGAAGGTAGGAGGAAGAGAAGATTTGCAGATCACTGTTAGTAAAGTGGGAGAACTTGCCCTTGGTGATAATGCAGACAAACCCAGGGCCCCCAGGAGGAAAGGGCTCACCAATGTGGGTGCTGTATAGGTGGATTTCTTGCAGTGCCCACTAGGTGTCACTCTTGCTCCTGGTTAGACCTTTCTTGGCTTAAGATTCTGAGATGTCCTTTGTAAGGAAATTTCCCTCATATGTGATTCTTCAAACAAAAATATATAGAAATTGCATCCTAAAGACGTTCAGAGTTTTGTTAGGAACTTAGAGTGAGGAAAATGATAAAAGAGGCTAGCTATTAAATCATATAAAAATGTGGTATCTACAGGACAATCAGAGTGGTTTGCTATATCTTTTCTCATTTTTTCTTTTCCTGATTGAGTCTATTAGATTCATGGCTGGACCAATATCAGGAGAAGAGAAGCGGGGCGAGTTTCCCTGTTTATATCTGTTACCATGTGTATTCATACGTAGTATGTGAGGACGCTTGGAGAACAGCTCCCTTTGATGTTTTGTTGTGTTCCACCCAGAGCATAGTGACTCTGAATGGAAGGACCGGGCTACTGGAGTTCTTTCCCCTAGGTTCACATTTAGCATCCTCTGCTCTTTCCACTATATTTGATCGGGGAATTGGGGGAGGTCAGTCACACCCAGCATCTCAGTAATTGAAAGAGAAGTTGCTCTAAAGTCTTACCTTAGACTCCTGCCCATTCATCTCTGCTCTTTCTTTAAAGTCTTTTCTGAACCTCGTTTAACTGTCTTTTGGATCAGTGGAAGCTTTCTCCTTATATTGCAGACATTTTGAAAAGAACGGGTCTTGAGTGGCTCCTTTGCTCATCTTTGGAAGGATCCAGTTGCACAGGCACAGTTTGGTGCCAGGGACCTTTATCTGTGTTCAGCACCTCTTTGCTCTGCCTGTTGGCTTTTCGTCACTGGATCACTACTCCATTGTATTTGTTTATTGGGAGCTGTCTTTGGGAGTTTTTTTTTTTTTAATTTTTAAAATTATTTCAGTAGTTGTTGGGAAACATGTGATGTTTGGCTACATGGATAAGTTCTTTAGTGGTGATTTCTGAGATTTTGTTGCACCCGTTACCCAGGCAACATACACTGTACCCAATGCGTAGTCTTTTCTCCCTCATCCCACTCCCACCCTTTCTCCTGAGTTCCCAGAGTCCATTGTATCATTCTTACACCTTTGTGTCCTCATAGCTTAAGCTCCCAGTTTTAAGTAAGAACATACGATGTTTGGGTTTCCATCTCTGAGTTACTTCACTTAGAATAATAGTCTCCAACTCCATCCAGGTTGCGGTGAATGCCATTATTTAATTCCTTTTTATGGCTGAGTAATCTTCCATGCTGTGTGTGTGTGTTTGTGTGTGTGTGTGTGTGTGTGTGTATCACATTTTCTTTATCCACTCATTGGTTGATAGACATTTAGGCTGGTTCCATATTGTTGCAATTGCAAGTTGTGCTGTTATCAACATGTGTGTACAAATGTCCTTTTCATATAATGACTTCTTTTCCTCTGGTAGATACCCAGTAGTGGGATTGCTGGATCAGATGGTAGTTCTACTTTTGAGTTTTTTAAGGAATCTTCTTCACACTGTTTTCCATAGCGGTTGTACTAGTTTACATTCCCACCAGCAGTGTGGAAGTATTCCCTTTTCACTGCATCCACGCCAACATCTATTATTTTTTGATTCTTGCGGGAGTAAGGTGGTATCACATCTTCGTTTTAATTTGCATTTCCCTGATCATTAGTAATGTTGAGCATTTTTTCATCTGTTTGTTGGCCGTTTGTATGTCTTCTTTTGAGAATTGTCTGTTCATGTCCTTGGCCCACTTTTTGATGGGATTTTTTTTCTTGCTAATTTGAGTTCCTTATATATTCTAGATATCAGTCCTTTTTCAGATGTATAGATTGTGGAAATTTTCTCCCACTCTGTAGATTGTCTGTTTACTCTGCTTGACTGTTCCTTTTGCTGTGCAGAAGCTCGCTATTTTAATTAAGTCCCACCTATTTATCTTTGTTTTTGTCATTTGCTTTTGGGTTCTTCGTCATGAAATCTTTGCCTAAGCCAGTATCTAGAAGGGTTTTTTCAATGTTGTCCTCTAGAGTTTTTATAGTTTCAAGTCTTTAATTTAAGTCTTTGATCCATCTTGATTTGAGTTTTTGTGTAAGAGATGACAATCCAATTTCATTCTTCTACATGTGGCTTGCCAGTTATCCCAGCACCATTTGTTGAATAGGGTGTCCTTTCCCCCTTGATGTTTTTGTTTGCTTTGTTGAAGATCAGTTGGCTGTGAGTATTTGGCTTTATTTCTGGCTTCTCTATTCTATTCCATTGGTCTATATGCCTGTTTTTATACCAGTACCATGCTGTTTGGTGACTATGACCTTCTAGTGTAGTTTGAAGTCAGGTAATGTAATGCCTCCAGATGTGTTATTTTTGCTTAGTCTTTGCTTTGGCTATGTGGGCTCTTTGTTGTTTCCATATGAATTTTAGGATTGTTTTTTCTGGTTCTGTGCAGAATGATGGCAGTATTTTGATGGGAATGGCATTGAATTTGTAGATTGCTTTTGGCAGTATATGGTCATTTTCACAATAGTGATTCTATCCATCCATGAGCATGGGATGTGTCCCATTTGTTTGTGTTGTCTGTGGTTTTTTTCAGCAGTGTTTTGTAGTTTTCCTTGTAGAGATCTTTCACCTCCTTGATTGGGTATACTCCTAAGTATTTTATTTTTTTTGCAGCTGTCATAAAAGGGGTTGAGTTCTTGATTTGATTCTCTGCTTGGTTGCTGTTGGTGTGTAGCAGTGCCACTGATTTGTGCACATTGGTTTTGTATCCTGAAACTTTACTAAATTCATTTATCAGATCTAAGAGCTTTTTGGATGAATCCTGAGGGTTTTCTAGGTATATGATCTTATTATTAGTGAAGAGCAACCTTTTGACTTCCTCTTTAATGATCTGGATGCCCTGTCTTCATCTTGTCTGATTGCTCTGGCTAGGATT